GAGAGAGAGAGAGAGAGAGAGAGAGATAGAGAGCGAGAGAGAGAGAGAGAGCGAGAGAGAGAGATTAACTTCATTAACGTTAACTTTGCTGGCTATGCTTTTAGCTAGCTAATGTTACTACACGTACTTGAGCTCGAGCTAGCTAACGTCACAGAGCTTGCTTCTCCAATTTGAGCAACTTAATGTAATGAAACAGACCAAGTGAAACATTATCTGAGATGTTAACAGTTCAATAATCATGAAGACAAAACAATACTGGACACTGTCAGTTTCTGGTGATAAGCATAACTTTGCCTTGGCTCCTTGGTTGATCTCCACATGGCTCTGCTCAGAAGGATGACTACTGAAGCTCTGCTGTCCAAAGTCATGTTTACCAACAGCAGATTGCGTCTTGTCACTTACAAATGATTAGTGGGCTATGAGCAGTTAATAAGTAATAATGAGTAATAAAAGTGTGCTGTCATCGTAGCAGAAACATTAGCTTATATCAACAGTATGATATAGATGGATAGTGACTCACTGAACTGATTAATTACAATTATCTGCCGCTATGGTTAACTGACACCATTAAATGTCAAGATTGAATATTTGACTGTATGTTTACTGATGTAAATCCACTATAAATTTACAGCAATTCATTACAGTGTACCAACAAATGGACAGGCTACATGAGTTAGTGCTTTCAGTAATTGTGCCACAAGTAGCAGCTTTTGTTGTCTTGGCAAACGCAAATAAAAATATATCAAGACCAAAGCAACAAAGCAAATAAAGGCGATACAAACTGCTGGAATCATATGAATAAATTAATAATGATTAAACTATATTGTATGCTGTATGAAACTAAAGCTTATCTCAGTCTGAGCTCATTTATTTTCTCCTGTGTTTATGACTGAAGAACAGGTTGAATTGTGTTTTTTTAAATAATTTCATTTTTTTTTTTGCTGTGAAAACTGGTAGAAAGAAATATCCAAACAAAAAATAGAAAACTATTTAAATCAGATGTTTTTTTTTTCCTCGCTTTCTTCTCAGGGCTTCCGTAGTTACCTTATGTATATGCAATGGGAATGTAATGAGCATAAAGTCAATTTAAACTAAAAGCAGAATGAATTGTAACATCTGCCTCTTGGGACTACAGATGAAAAAATAGCCTCTTGGCTTTAACTCTGGCACATTTACAGACATGTTTTTATTAATGTGCACTGTCCCTTATCAAATAAACCAATAGATACAATTGTGAAGTGTAAACTATATCGACTTCTATATTAGTTGTGTTTCAGCAGGTTCATCACACACCTGATTAAATAACAAAGTGGAAAACAAGACCCCCCCAATTCCTCAAGCATGTGGTCCAGATTATCCCAGTCAGCAGTACTCCTCCGAATGACTATTATGAATTGATTGATTGAAAGAAGACGCTGGTGCTATGTGGAAACATGCTCATATGTTTCTGTCCTGTGTAGATGGCGCGGTGAATCAAAGCTCGGCTTCCTGATGAAGGTAAATAATTCTCTACTCGCCCTGTGAAGACGAGGCCAAAGACAAGAAGTCTACAGAGCCAGATGTTCTGGTGATTGAAGTCAATCAATGTCTGTCAATAAACTGACCTATTGTACATCTGTGAATGAAGAACAGGTGGACTCCTGCTCACAGCTATAATCTTAGGTAATCAGAAATGAGAAGTGTCACAGTTGTACTGGATTGGGCCACAAGATGGCAGCAAACGCATTGACTGACTGTGACGCTTTAAATTAGTTATTAGAAAGATTAAGATGAACACCAAGTGAAAAATATTATGTCTTTCTTAATATTGCTGACATTATTGGTGTACATATATGTACATGTACACCAATAATGCCAGTTAGTACCAGACTGGATAATGATACTTTGCATGTTTAAAGACATGACAATACAAGTTTATTAGTACAACGACATGCTTTACATATAAGACATGAATAGACAATATGACAAGATATACAATAAACACAACGCAATCCTTCACGGTACAGTAACATTTGAAAACCACATGTGGAGATCCATAATGTGAAGAGTAGGCTATTCTTTTAGTACACGTGTTTTTCATGTTGGTTGTCTTAAATGTGAACATGTTTTCTTTCTGCATGTTTTTCATCAATTGTTTTTCCTCCACATGTGAAAAACATGTACTTAATGTGTGCAGATGTCCAGGATACTCTGTGCATCGGCCCCGGCCACAATGACGCTCTTAAAGCCACCATCAGAAGGGCCAAAGAAAGGAACCATCAACCCAGAGTGACTCTGAACCTGGATGTGTTATGGTGCAAAGAGACCGTGGAGCTGATGGTTCCTTGTCTTCAGAATGTAGCTGATTAGCAGCTAATTTGCAAATCACTATTATAACAAGTCATAAGGCCCTTTAATACTTATCTCAACGATAGGAGAGGTGTAGAACGCCCTATTTCAGTATAATATTGTATTATTACTGTGTTACAATTCAAGATAGAATGTCTCCGTCTGGCCCTTCAGAGAGACAGCTCAGCACATCCCCTGCCGCATGAAGCCTTCATAAAGGTGTACACCAGGGAACTGGATAACCAAAAGTCAGTGAAGGCTGGCAAGAGGGCAAAAAGAAAAATGTCGACTTCAGGATATTGAGCTAAAACTGGCTGGACCGTACGATCTTCACACACCGCTGCTCCAGACTTTGAATCCATTCTGAACCTGTAACAGCTGAGAACAGCCCAGTATTACAATATTAAAGTATTACAGTATTAAAGTATTACAGTATTATTACAGCAGTGAACTTTATCTGTCTGTCAGGTTTGTGCCTCCACCCCTGCTGTATAGTACATACATACAACAGGACATCTCAAATGTAGACTACAAGCACACATGAATATTTGACATGTGAAGACATTAATAAAAGCCCACATGTGAAACATGTACTTAATGTGTGCAGATACAATGACACGCTTAGAGCCACCACCAGATGGGGCCAAAGAAAGGAATGATCAACCAGAGTGACTCTGAACAAACCTGGATGTGTTGTGGTGCAAAGAAAACGTAGAGCTGATAGTTCCTTGTCTTCAAAATGTTAGATCATTTGTACCTCAGTATTACAACAAGTCATAATTTGAAATTTTTTTAAATTATTATTATTATACTATATTGATCCCGTTAAGAGGGAAATTTCAATAATCAACACCTTTAATACTTATCTCAACAATAGGAGAGGTGCCGTCTCCACTGCCCTCCACTCAGCCCTCACACATCCTGAAACATCAACACCTACATCACATTGCCTCACTTTTATTGTTTTGGACGGTGTGTTTGGCTAACCGCTAATAGCTAATGGTACTACCAGTACACAACTGTGCTGTACCTTGCTGCAAATCAGGCCCTTCCTCACTTCCACCCCAGGCCCTTGCTCGACCACACCCATCGTTGAGCTCAGCCCTGATTTTGTTTAGACAGACAGAAATATAAACACCTGGCGAAGTACTTCCTACTAGGTGTCTCCAGGACCACATTTTGCCATGATGACTAACACACAGACTCACAAGTGTCGCTGTATCGATTCTTTTGCCGAAAGTGGTTACATGTCGGTAACATCATTGGTACCCATCTACCGAGCATCAGTGATATTGATGAGAAGGGGAGCCTGTGCAGAGCTCAAATGATATTAAAAGACAAAACCCACCCCGACACAACCTGTTCACCTGCTGCCGTCTGCAAAGAGATACAGACGCATCAGCCGCTGAACAGCCAGACCTACGAGCAGCTTCTCAGGCTGTGAGACTCTTTAACTTATCCTCCATGTATGGTATAGTTTCTTTTGTGTTTGTGTTTTTTTGGACAATGACAATAAAATAACCACGTAACCTGCTAGAGGCTCCTGTTTTGTTTCCATTGGTACCGTCGCCTGATAACTGAATAATGAAGATAAGTTGTTGTCTTGGTGACTGAAGAAACAGATTATTTATAAAGAGCACCTTTTATAATATTCCAACGTATTTATTTATGGATGTTCATCCACACCAGACACCAGAGCAACATATCATTGGAGAAAGTGGCACTGATTCCTCCAGTGTGTATAATCTGTGCTGGTTTGAGTTATGATATATGTCAGTTTTTTTTTTTAATGCTAAACCGTTTGTAACTCTTTTTTTTTACAGCTTGAATGAATATGAATACTAATCAATGAAGCACTTCTGGAGTGGGTGGGGTGGTGTTCTCCATCAGGCCCTAAAATCTCTCCATCCGGCCATACAGAGATCCACAGGCACGCACATCCTGCCCTGCATGCAGCCTTCATAAAGCAGCCCAGCAGGATAACCGAGGTCAAAGAAGGCTGGCAAGAGTTGAAAAGAAAAATGTCGACCTCAGGATATTGCGCTAAAATCCGCTGGACCGTACCATCCTCACACGGCGCTGCTCCAAACACTGAACCTGCGCTGATCCTGGTACAGCAGCGCGGGGGATTGGGTGCAGTATGTGATACATGTGCGTCCGTCACTGCCTGAGAGCGGAGAGACAATAGAAAAAAAATATTCCGAATATTCAGAAACAAAGGGAGTGGACGGCAGGGAAGCGGAGGAGAGGAGAGGAGAGGAGAGGAGAGGAGGACGCCTCCGTCGCATCTCTGGATGGCTGCAGCGTTCTTCTGATTGACCGGCCTGCTGAAGGAACGACAAGCCAAACCCACCCGGTGTGAGCCTGCATATATATAAAGCCTTTCAGCTGGGTGTCTGTCACCAGATCATCATCATCACCCATCATCAGCCTCGTTCCGACCTGACCCTGGATTAATCATCGTATTGTGCTATCAGCACAGCACACAGCGGGAGCAGCCATGTCTCACGGATGGGGATACGGACCAATTAACGGTGAGGATCTCTCAGCGTGTACCGGATGGGCAGGTTATATACCCAACAGGTTGAAACTCTCACCTCAGTGTTACACGAGTATGCTGCAGTCAGTAAGTTGCCATTCCTCAAAAACAATGTGACAACTTAAATAATTGACATGACAGCAGTCTACTTAAGCACACCTTCAGAGGAAATGGGTTTGTAGTTCATGAACACTTGGATTTTAAAATGACTGCTCTGGTTAAACAGCCAAACATTGTTCTTAAACATCTACCAGCTAGCTGGTGCAAAACGTATGAAACTCAACTTTTCAAAAGTGCTGCAGTTTGAACTACCCCATAGAATTAACACCACCTGCTGGCTGCAACACAGACAAAAAAAATGTACTTTTTGATCAATTTAATGCTAAATGAAAATATGTTTTTGAGCTATCGTGTGAAGGGTGTGAACATGGCTTTTAATAAAACAACAGAAGGAAGAATATAATTATTACCAGCTGTCAGTGGTTACATTCACTGTAAGGTACATTTATGATTTACTCAGTTTGCTTGAATTTGACTTCAGTAACAATACTACAAAATCATGCTGAAATAGCCCATTCTGCATTTTGAATACTTTTACTTTTGATACTTAAAGTACATTTTTCTAATTTTGTATACTTACCTTGAGATGCACAGTATTGCTACTTTTGTTTGAGTAAAGGATCTGAATATCACACTACTGCTGAGTAAACTTGGGAAGATGTTGTTGAATGTACAACCTTTGCTAGTTTTCAACTGTGGCAACATGTGAATGAGCTGAATACTTGTTTCTGCACTGCTACCTGATAAAGACAGGCATGAATCTACAGGGAAACTTTGAAGAGGTTGGCGTAAAAGTGCTCCACACACGAAACATAAAAGAATAGGACAAAGCACTTGCTACTAATATATACTGATTTCATATCTAATATTGGAATATGCATTTGCAGGACCTGACAAATGGGCAGAAGATTTTCCTTTAGCTAATGGGCCCAGACAGTCTCCCATCAACATTGTCCCCAAGGAGGCCAAATATGACTCCACTCTGAAGCCACTGAAAATCAAGTATGACCCCTCCAACGCCAACGGCATTCTCAACAATGGACACTCCTTCCAGGTGGACTATGTGGACGACACAGACAGCTCCAGTAAGCACAGCTCAGCTCCTGGTGTTACATAGACACGGAGAGAGAAGACTATATAGTATATATACACCTCATGTATTTACCTCATTTACACATGATTACCTCATTTCATTGAACCCTTTTTTTTTTCTTTTAACAAAATAAACCACAACACTGAAATGAGGAAGATCTTAGTTAATAATAAGAATGAATATGAACAAACAATCATACCCTCTAAACTAAAAATAAATATGTTTTGAAGTGAAATCAAACACTATTCCCAAGCCTGTTTACAAGATATTTAGTTAGTGCTGCATCTTTGGATGGATGAGTAAAACCACACTAAATGGAAATTAAATGTACTCTTCAGCCCATTGGTATTACAGTAGTACAGTATCACAGTAGTACAGTAGTACAGCGGTACACTTTATCTGTCTGTCTGCTTTGTGCCTCCACCCTGCTGTATGTACTGTGGTAGATAAGAGCGTATCTGGAGGCCAACAGGACATTGGCACCACTTCACCCTGTTGCACTGACACTGTTTATCCAACATTCATCCAACAGTGTATATCAATATGAATTTCTGTTATTTTCTGTTCTTTTTTGGACTTTGTTTCAATGTTTGCATAAAAAGTTGCCTATTCATACATGAAATTTGATTGTGCGTTGAACCCATGCAGTGGGCTGCTGTAAAGCACACAGGGAGCAGCTTGGGGTACAGTGTCTTAAAGCACTACCTGCTCTACCTACTCCCTGAGCCACTGCCTAACTAACCAACTAGTTCTGTTCTCTTAATAGAGGGTAGGAAGAAACAATCAATGATGTGCTCTGGGTTGGATGACTTGTTGCATAAGTGTTATTTTGGAAGCTCCTACAGTGCCACTAAAGATATTTTACATGTTTTCACAGACTGAGTAGTACTAACCATGACCTTTACTGACCTTTACGTGTACATGCCAGTGGAGTGCCCCCTCAGTAGGACATCACAGTGATGGGCATCATTTTTCACTGATAGAGGATGTCTTGAAAGTGATGTTTCGCAGATCATGGTTCTCCGCATTTAATGGTTAAAAAAAATGAAATATGTCATTTGAGTTTGCACCTCTGAATGAGAGAAGCTGATTACTTTGATGAACAAATGCTATACAGTTGAAATAAAATCGAAAGAACATAAGCATTCAAATGTAAAGTAGAACTAATAGGATCATATACATATACACTGACTGTATGCTAATGTGCAGGTTACTGAGGAGCATAGACTTACTTCATTGCTGGTGTTAAATCTGTCCTTCCCTGAGTGTGTCTCTAATGATTCGGTTGTTTTGCTCCCACCAGCCCTGACCGGAGGTCCTATTTCTGGAACGTACCGTTTGAAGCAGTTTCATTTCCACTGGGGAGCCGGTGATGACAGAGGCTCCGAACACACCGTCAACGGCATCAAGTTCCCAAGTGAGGTACTGAGGCTACTGGATCTTCTGTTAACAACTACCACATACAGTAACAGGCCATCAATTCATGTTATGAGATAAATGGCTACGTCCTGTGGTGTTAATGGGGTACTATCCTATCTTTTTCAAGAGGCTTAGGTAAAATATATATGAAGGAAGGAAATTGGTCAGATAAAGTCCTAAATTATTACAGATGCTCCTCCCACTCTATTCTTTCCAACATTTTTGCACCTTTCAGAAAATGTCACTGAACCTAAATCACATATGTAACGTAAGCCACATAATTGAAGTTATGTAACAAATGTACTTAAACCTAGACTTTCACCAAGGAGACCATTTTTCGTGTCCCGTTTGAAACCAGAAGTCAACGTTGACTTATTTTAAATAACGCAAGTATTTTACAGAAAAGCACTTACGTAACATAGGCCACATAACTGAAGTTACGTAACAAATGTACTTAAACAAACATGACTTTCACTCAGGAGGCTGCTGTCCGTGTCCCATGTGAAACCAAAAGTCAACGTTGACTTCTTTCAAGTTGCGTTAGTACGTTGCGTTAAGATAAGCACTTAACTTACGTAACATAGGCCACGTTACTGAAGTTACGTGACAAACTTGCTGGCCTTAACCCAAATAATGATCCTTTTGTTGCTTAAACCTAAGTGGTCCTGACCAAGAGTCTGTATGTGACGAGTTGGGAGTTAGAACGGGTTGAGATAACACACTGTAGCCTGTGCCTTAAAAGCATAGACTGTCGATAGGAAGTGGACGTAGTTGTCGTTACCCATAGGTTTGTGGACTGCATTCTTTTTAAGTCTGGAGTTCGGCATTTTGGCCATCGCCATCTTGGCTTTTTGCAACCAGTGAACACAAGTGACCATATTTGGAATGCGGAGGAGTGACGTAGAGACACAGTATACGTCTCTGGTAGCGACCTGTCAATCACTGTGTAGCCCCGCCCTAAAGCATCCCCTGCTTTATGGTCTGTTTGACTCTAAATGGACCATAATGTACTAAATGAACATCATGCTGTATTGAAGAAGACTTGAAACTAGAGATTGAGACCATAAACTCATGTTTACAATGTTTACTGAGGTAATAAATCAAGAGAGAAGTAGAGTCATTTTCTCATAGACTTCTATACAACCAGAGGAGTCGCCCCCTGCTGGTCAGTAGAAAGAATGCAAATCTAAGACACTTCCGCATCGGCTTCACTTTTCAGAACCGAAGGTTGCTGACTGCTTAAAAGTCAAACTTCTCTTTTCTTGTTAGCTTCACCTGGTGCACTGGAACACTAAGTACCCCAGTTTTGGAGGGGCAGCCAGCCAGCCCGATGGACTTGCAGTGGTCGGGGTCTTTCTCAAGGTGAGTCGCCAGTGATTCATCACTGAGAAACCATCAGTCTGTGACTGCACTCCAGACTAGGGGTGGAAACATACTTTAACTATTCATTCCCTGTTAAGGACACGGTAAAGAGATAAGCAGAATAATTAACACTGTGTTTGAGTATTATAATTGTGTATATAATTATGTGTGTGTGTCTGTGTTGTGCTCCAGATTGGTGCTGCCAACCCCAGGCTTCAGAAAGTTCTGGATGCCTTGGATGCTGTTAAGACCAAGGTAAGGACAAATGTGCCAATACTGTCAATGTACAGCAAATGATATGCTAGGGAGACTAACAACTCCATAGTCAAGATTAACAAGGTGTAACAATGGCTTCCCTCTCTCGCTCCTTCTTTTCCATCCTTTGCTTCTTGACACCTGCAGGGAAAGCAGACCACCTTTTCTAACTTTGACTCAAAGACTCTTCTTCCTGGTTCTCTGGATTATTGGACCTATGATGGCTCTCTGACCACGCCTCCTCTGTTGGAAAGTGTCACCTGGATCGTCCTCAAGGAGCCAATCAGTGTCAGCCCTGCACAAGTACGTGAATACGTTCTGAGAATTTAATGCTACGCATCTGCAAATCTGTATGGAGGACTAAAACTGGCATTCTATAGGATGAATCAGTAAATAAATGACTCAGTACATAAATAAATAAAATAATAAGGAAAGAAATTAAGAAAGAAAAGCCTCAATCATCAAACAAATGTGCAGGTTAATGTGAAAATAAATAGTTAAATTAAGTTAATTTAAGATTAAGATTAAGATACACCTCAGATATGATTTAATTATAGGAAGGTCATATGGCTCCGGGTGCTTTAGTGCAAGTATAAAGTACATGTATCTATGTGCGTGAACGTACACACAATATATGTGTGTATTTGTGGAAATGCTAAAAACAGACATTCTCTTGGCTACCTGCTGGTATGTGGGTTGGCTTTATTATCATGTCGTCTGGAGAGACTGCTGCTGGATTCTCAGTGGGAAGCTGAAAGAGTTTAACTTAAAATGAGACAATAAAGGGCATGAAGTGTCAAGCCTCAGGAAGTCAGAGATTAAAAGAAAGAGCCACTCAATTACTGCAGAATAAAGAGAAGAAGGCATTTCCTCAATTGACATACTTTCAAATACCCTCATACGCACTCAAGACTTTGACTTGCTAATCAACTCATGAGGTGTACATGGTTTAAGGAGCCAGAATGTTGGTCCAAACATTGTAAAGATCAAGACTGTTAGAAGTCCTATCATGCTTTAGAGCAGGGTGGGTCTGTCCTTTCAGGGGCCTTGTGTTTCCCTTAGATTACTCTGACTGCCTGTATCTCCAGTCAGCAGTTTGCACTCTACCTCTTTAACATGAGTAACGCCCCATACCTTCATGTGACATAAAACCCACAAGGACTTTTCTGGCTAAAGGTTTTACCTCCCTAGATAAATGATAGATGTTCATCTATGAGATGTGCGAAGAAGAAGAAGAAGGAGAAGGAGAAGAAGAAGAAGAGTCAGCCTGCTGAGGGACAGTTAATCCGGGCTCACCAGCTAGCTAAAGGCCAAATGGCTCCCTGAGGAGTTGTTGTTTTCGCCACACTGCTGCTCTAGTCACTTCACACAAACACACACATACGATTCTTTCATCTCACCATTCCCCTTAACATGTGCACTTGTTACCAGTAGTTTATTGATTTGGCTTGATTTGCAGAGGGCAGTGAAGGCTGTGTCAACTGTGGGATCATTTCCTTCCACATATTAATGGTACTATGTCCGATATGGGACTATTTTCAACGTCAGCAGGGCTGTCTTTTGCACCACCATGCACACATGCTAGATAACAACCACGGCTAGAGATTGTGAGGCTGGCTGCGCTGTATGAACACCGGATTAAAGACATTCTGTCAGAAGTGAAGCAGATTATTGCATTCAATTCCACATGTCTTATTTAAAGGGGACACATCATGTTCATTTTCAGCTTCATATTTGTATTTGGGGTTTCTACTAGAACATGTTTATGCTTTAATGTTCAAATAACAAATTGTTTTTTCCAGTCTGTCTGTCTGAAGACACCTGTATTCACCCTCTGTCTGAAGCACTCCGTTTTAGCGCCTGTGTCTTTAAGACCGTCTTCACAAAAAGCCCAGCCTGCTCCAATAAGCTTGCGAGAAAAATATGGTGAACTTTTGCAAACGTAGTTCTCAAAAAACTGACTGGGTTGTTTTATTTCACAGTTTGTGTGTTGGTGCACTCCAGATACTGTGTTCTTAAAGAGATGTCCCCTTTAACATGATCCAGGTACTGTTTGCATCAGCCCTAGCGACTGTGCAGCAGTGGAGGGAACGCCACTGTATTGCCAACCTGTTTGTTGTGATTTAGTCACTTGAGGATACAAGAGCTCAAGGGAATGTATCATCATTCTCCTTCCTAAGCAACACACGCTCCATGTCCATTTACATTAGAGAAATGATTCTGCAGACACAGAAAACATTTTTTTCTGATTGAACGGTGGGTGTTGGACATCTGTTTTTTTGCGCTGTATACATAATCACAAATTCTGCAATAGAAGTAGTATAAGATATATAAGTATAAAAGCAGAGCAGAGGCTGATTGTCGGTCCGGCTCTTACACGTACCTGCTGCGAAGCAACAAGATGGGAGATGAATTCCTCTTTAATGGCAGTAAACACAACACATGGCTTGTTTGTGCACTTTTTATATTTTACTGTAAATTTCAATGTTTCTACTTTTTGCACTGTGTTGATTGTTGTTGATTGTTAATGTTATGCACCACCCGCCATGTAAAATTCCTTGTATGTGCAACATACCTTATATACCAAATATACGCTTCTGATTCTGATTCTGATTGTTCAGAGCTCAACAAGATATTACTAACAAACAGTAGTGTTAACTTAACGTGACAAACAGCAGGAATGTACCGGTACAGAGCCTTTCGTAGGAGAGCTGCTGGCCCAGCTGTGGAGTTTAACTAGACTCTAAACTCGTGCACACCAAAACCTCGTTCATGCACGTGAACAGAACAGCATCTGCGAGCGGAACAGCGTCCTCATGAAGCAGCATTTCTGCTCCTCGTGCACGAATGCGGTCCCAAGCATCTGCTCCGACTGGTAATTCTACTGTGCTCTCAGTGATGATGGAGTTATACTTGTTAGAAACAACACACGTGATGCTTCACTTAATGTAAGCGTTTTCAATTTCAGCAGCTGCTACTGGGACTTAGTCCATGGAAATCTTTTACCTTAATCCTCTTTGTCTCTTCTTCCTCATAAGATGGCCAAGTTCCGCAACCTCCTCTTCACTGGAGATGGAGAAGCTCCATGTTGTATGGTGGACAACTACCGGCCCTGTCAGGCTCTGAAAGGCCGCCAGGTCCGCGCCTCCTTCAAATAAGCCCCTGCTTCATCTACGTGGCTTCCTTGCCCCCTTTGCCTATTCTTATCCGTATTACTCCCATTTTCCTCCACATGCAGTCTTTCCTTAGCTTACATTACTCAACTTCTCTTAGCCCTATTGATATTAACATGAAAAGTAGAATACAAGCCTTTCTGCTTACATTTTCTATGACATAGACTAACTGGATGTATCTTGAATTAAATAACTTTGAGGCATTTTTAAGCTTTGACACTGTTAAGAAATAGGTCACATTTATACCCAGATAAAATCCAGATGATATGTAGGGCACTTTCATTTAAACTTATCCACAGATACAAATCTGATTACATCCGTCTTCACTTTCTCTCCAACATGCAACTCAGTTTTGTCCGTCCTCCTGTTCAGAGGGAGGTGGAAAAGACCAGAAGAAGAATAACTTCTGCACTTCAGCTGTTTAATTCCAGCAATTGCAGTTTAGCTAACGTTAGCTAACAACTATCCATCAGATAACGCAAACACGTGAATGAACCGTACTTATGAATTACAAGCGAGACAAAAGTTTTATCATCTTCACGGCTCTAACGTTGTGCGTTTCCACCAGCTTGACACAAGGCTGATGTGAGGTGTGGTTCAGAAACATACAAACTCAATGTATCCTGTGGTTTGCAAAAACATACAATGATAACTTATTTTTTGCCGGCTGGGTTGAACACAGGTACCAAGGGACCAGTGATCTAACAGACTAAAGCGCAGGTATTCTGGCACCTGATCTCTGTTATGCAACACATTTTCTCTGCCCACCGTATAACTCATAAGCTAAGCTATTTTCTTACTTCTAGTGTCTATTATAGTGTCAAGCTAAAGTTTTTATTGATGCCTCATTTTGTCAGTTTGGGACAAAGTGATCTTGATGCGTAACATTTCACAGTGTTGACTCTACAGTTGTGTACTGTGGCCACCAACCGTCATCTGGCAGGCACTTGTACACAGGAAGGTTTAGGACTGATGATCATCTCATGATGGTAATGCTTTGGAATGTACCAGTATGTTGTGAGAGACAAAGTATTGGCTGACAGTACAGCCTGAGGCCATGTCCACACTAATGCATGTTTTTTTGTCTCTGTTGGGCTTCCATCCCATTTGGAAAAATTTAGCTTTTTTTGTTCATGCAAAAATGAGCCAGAACTTCACTGAGACATCTGCATTACTGTGATCATGGCTCACCTCATTCTGCTGACTCTACAAAAAAAGTGTCAGTCCATTTTTTATATAAAAGAAAAACTATGACAACTGAACTACCTATCACCACAGTGCATTAAACATTGCCTTTAAGACTCATGTAACTTCTGAACTGAAAGGATCAATCTATGACTATGTATTAACCCACTCTACAGTAACAACAGAGGTCAGACTTTCTCATTACATTTCTATAGTTTGTCAGCAATGTGAATCATCACTCCATCTAAATGAAGTGGCAGATATTCATAAGAGACCAGCGAAATGTTACTTTATTTGAGCTTTTATATCAGTTATGAGACAATCAGCTTTTAAAGTGGGCTTATGGTGAGATAGCTGTCACCCTTTAAAGTGTGTCACACACTGCTGCCACATTACAGGTGGAAGAAATGTTTTTGTGAATCTGTCATGTCATAATGGAAAACAATTTGATCAATAAATATTCATAACTTGCAGATGTCAGAGTGTTATTTTTGTTTCTCACAACTCATAATCACATATTATCCTTATCATGCTGTTCAAATTAAAGGACTGGTTGTAAAAAGAAGTCTGATTGAATAGAAGTCTATGAGAAATAGGCTCCTCCTCACTTGATTTATTTATTAACTTGGAAACACAAGTTTATGGTCTCAATCGCTAGTTTCAAGTCTTCACATTATATACAAATTCAGGGGGCTAGCAGGAAAGCATTCCACTTAAAGAGTAGGTATGTCAGAAGGGATATGATAACTGTTTTGTCCAATGATTAAAGAATGATCTGTTGTCTACCTTATATGGACCCGAGGGTGCAGAAAGCGCTGAACGCTCTTTTTAGGGCTTTTAGGCTTTTTGAGAATTTGGTACATTTGAGATTTTGTATGATCTATTATTTCATTTTTGTTATTCATTTTTGGAATCTTTTCTAAACTTTTTGTAGAAACCAAATAAAACTTGTTTGTATTTTGTGCATTCCAACCAAAGTCCAGCGTTGCTCATCTCTGGGGCCCTCGTGATCTCCTCAAGGTGAGAGAGCTCCTCCCTGAGATCGGCTGACAATAGCAAATAAAAGAGACGTGATTTGAATGGCATTCCTGTTACAAGCTGAGGTTAAGATAGTGTTGTTCATCATTGTTGTGATTTACTAACTTGGTTGGCTCAGATTGATGTATGTTGCAAATGTATCATATGTGATGTTGCAGTGTTGGTTAATAATGTTTAGACATTAGCTGAGGTGTATTAGAAAACAATAGGGGTTAAAATGGTATCTAAATCAGGAGTGTTAGGGCCAGGGTCCTGAAGCTGCCCTTAATAACCGAGCTAGGTTCCCAACCACACGGGGTTCCTCCTCCAGCGGTGGCCCTTTAGAGTGGCATCACCCTGGAGTATATGCAGTCCTCCCACACCTATTGCACACACACACCTAAATCCGTTGATATCCGGCAGTCGGGAAGGCCGACGTTTTTAGCCTGAAATAAGTGACGGTGGCTAGTGGTATTAAGTTATCCTGGTTTTCGCCTCCCTAAGCAGGCTAAGACAGTCTCGCGTGTAGATTTTGGGGGTGCGTTCGTTACCTAGGTCAGAGGTTATTGAACAAACCGTCTTCCAGCGCTTCACGTGCAGCGGGAGGGGGTATTGGTTACGCAGCTAGGCTGTACACCTTTTCAATATCATATTTGGAGGGTGGAGGATGAGTTAAGGAGTCTCACAGCTAGAGGAAATAAGCAGTTCTGAAGTCTGGTGGTTCGGCAGCTGATACTTCTGTATCTATTGCCAGACGGCAGCAGGGTAAACAGGTTGTGTCTGGGTGGGTTATGTCTTTTTATATCCTTTGAGCTCTTCACAGGCTCCTCTTGTCACCAATATCACTGATGCTCAGTAGATGGGTTCCAACAATAACCCGCTGTATAGCCCTCATGTCATAAAACAGGGTATGCTCTAGGGCAGAGGTCTTCAACAGGGGGTCCGTGACCCCTAGCGGGTCCGCGGAGGTACTGCAGGGGGTCCGCGAAATGTTTGGTTGATTAGACACATTTTTTTTTTTAAACATGAATCTGTCATTATTTGAATAGTTCAGTATTGTATGAAAGATAACAGGTATGTTTATGCATGGCAGTGACACTAATAGGCCATCACTCATTTTCCACATTTATGTATAAAATGAAAACATCAATTTGAATAGCTTGTATGCATGATTATCATGCTATTAACAGACAATGTTGATATTGGCATTGGTATCAGCTGACAAGGTATGTTTATAAATGGCAGTGACACGGCCTCCCTACTCACTGTACCTTGCACATGTTTAAAATAAAAACATGAATATATGAACCTGTGTATTATTTGAATAGCTTAGTATTAAATGCACAATAAAGAGGTATGTTTATACATGGCACTAGGCCCAGTTTAATATAAAACACAATTTTATACAATATATATAGTCGGGGGTCCCTGCTCCATCTCTATCAGTTTGGGGGTCCTTAGCCTGAAAAACATTGAAGACCCCTGCTCTGTGTGGCTACCTTGTGAATAAACCTGGTTCACTGCAAGACTCAAGCAGCTTCGTCGGGCCAAGGAGGAGGCCTACAGAAGTGGGGACAGGATCCTGTACAACCAGGCCAGAAACATATTGACGAGGGAGATCAGGGTAGCTAAGAGGAGCTACACTGAAAAACTGGAAAAAATGTTTTCAGTCAACGACCCCTCGTCAGTTTGGAGAGGCTTGCAAGTACTCACGAACTACAGGAGACCACCCCCCCCCCACTGAGGACAATCTCCACCTGGCTGACGACCTGAATGTCCTTCTACTGCAGGTTTGATGAGCCTACACCCCCATTATCAAACAACCATCTACACTCACTGCCTCCTCTCCCAAACGACCCCCCACCAGCACTGAGGATCTGTGAAGAGGATGTGGGTTGACTCTTTCACAGACAGAAGATCAGGAAGGCTCCGGGCCCAGATGGTGTGTCCCCCTCCTGCCTGAAAGTCTGTGCTGACCAGCTGGCCCCCATCTTCACACAGATCTTCAACCAATCACTGGAGCTATGTGAAGTCACCTCCTGCTTCAAATGCTCCACGATCATCCCGGTCCCCAAGAAATCCTCCATCACAGGATTAAATGACTACAGGCCCGTCGCCCTGACGTCTGTGGTCCTGAAATCCTTTGAAAGACTGGTGTTGACCCATCTGAAGAACATCACAGGACCCATCACAGGACCCCTGCTGGACCCCCTACCGTGCAAACAGGTCGGTGGATGATGCAGTCAACATGGGACTGCACTACATGCTGCAACACCTCGACTCCCCAGGGACATATGCAAGGGTTCTGTTTGTGGACTTCAGCTCAGCGTTCAACACCATCATCCCAGCAATACTCCAACCCAAACTCTCCCAGCTCACTGTGCAGCCTCCACCTGTCAGTGGATCACTAACTTCCTGACTGACAGGACGCAGCAGGCGAGGCTGGGAAAAAAAAAAATCACATTTTGGGATGGGATGTGTGCTGGATGTGTGCTCTCCCCACTGCTCTTCTCCCTCTACACCAACCACTGCACCTCAGAGGACCCAACTGTTAAACTCCTGAAGTTCACAGACGACACAACGGTCATCGGCCTCATCAGGGACGGTGATGAGTCTGCGTACAGACGGGAGGTTGAACAGCTGGTCCTCTGGTATGGTCAGAACAACCTGTTAAACAAGCTCAAAACTGTGGAGATGACAGTGGACTTCAGGAGGAGCCCCCCCAACACTGCCCCCCCTCACCATACTCAACAACACTGTCTGCTGTGGAGACCTTCAGGTTTCTGGGATCCACAATCTCCGAGGACCTGAAGTGGGCCCCCAACATCGACACCATCAGGAAAAAGGCCCAGCAGAGGTTGTACTTCCTGCGCCAGCTCAGGAAGTTCAACCTGCCTCAGGAGCTGCTGATCCTGTTCTACTGCACCATCATCCAGTCTGTTCTCTGCTCCTCCATCACTGTGTGGTTTGGATCGGCGACCAAACAGGACAGGAACAGACTGCAACGGATTGTCAGGTCTGCAGAGAGGATCATTGGTTCCAGCCTGCCCTCTATCCTGGATTTAGAGGAGAATCTCTTTTTTTTTTTTTTTTTACATGAATGAATGGCTGAGAGGTTTCTATTTAACAGTACATTGTTTGCATCTTGCAATAAATATTGTTATGTTCTTGATCACTTTGTGTTGTGTCTATTTGCCTTTTCTGTTGAAAAACTATGGGTTTTGAGACACTGATGGGCTTTCAATGTCATTAATAAATGCTTTGTAAGGCATAAATAGTCCTCACTTTAGATGAGGTCACACAAAACACTTTACTAAGGACTAGTAACTACCTAATTAATCATGAATTGCAGTATTAATATGCATTTATAAAGCATATATTAACAGTCCCTAACCATTAGTGCATATCTAAATCATTATATATATATATAAATGCATGAATAATGTACATCTAAATACGTTCTTAATCATTTACTAACACTTTATAAATGATGTTATTAATCATCTACAACTCCTTAATAATTGGTTTGTAATATATATAATACTTTATTTACAAATAAGGAATCCATCATTTATATAGTATGAAAACACAATCATGAAACACATAATAGACGAGCTTATTAATCAAGAATAAAACATTTATAACTGTTATGAATAGCATACTAATGAGTGTTAATATAGGAACAATGCTTTATAAATGATGAATTAAGTGTTTACTCATACTTGACTAATGCTTCATAGTGTGTAGTTATTATAAAGTGTTACCCAAAACTTTAATGTGGGAGGATGGGGGTGCTTTGTTGTAATAATTAAGCCTCTGTTTGAAATTATTTGCAAAACAGTGCTGCCGCATTTGAAAGGTGGGTGAGTGGTATTGGCTAGTGATGGCCTTATGTAACAATGTTTGGCTGTTTGTTTGCGACTCCTTTGTGCGAGTCCCCATCATCACAAACCATTAGCTGGATGGTCTTTGTTGGACATTTGGCCCTTCAACAGTCTCTGACAGTCTCGTTCAGTGTCTCAGCTGCAGTGATGGAGGGAGAGAGGACGTCTGAGACTAATGCTACATCTAATGCTACATCCATACTACTCCGTTTCTACTTGGAAGCAGAGTTGTCAAATAGAAACGATCTCCGTCCACACGGGAGTTTCAGCATCATTCTCGAGTTGATCTGCATCCACACGGCAGCCTTCGAAGGCGGACAGCACGTGACCATTAACGTACACTGGGCATGCACGTGACAGTGTAAACAGGAAGTGGATTGTTTGCCTAGTTAAAAAAAATAAAAATACGACAGAGTGATAAAGTAGTCTTTAATAATGAAAGGTTGTATTTGATACTTAAGATCTTCCTCTATAAACTCAGACAGTTCGTGGAAAGTTTTATAAGTTTTATTTTTCAGACGTAGTTACAGCGCTGCGGGTCTCTCTCTCTCTCTCTCCAAATTTACTTTA